AGCATTATACTTCAAGACAGATCTTGGAAAGTTCTTTTTGACAAAGAAAGTGACAATATTCTTCTTGAATTTGTCATTCCCTGCATAGTAAACTATATAATTGTCAGAGTCCAAATAGCTTATATCAGCTCACTAATGTGTTTTTGGGTTATCGATGCCAATCTTTGTGTATTCCAATGCATTTTTGACAACTTCTAATTTTCCTAGATTCATGCTTCATACATTGTTTTCCAATTATTAATGGATATTTACAGTTGTGTTTTTTTTTTTTTTTTTTTTTGCTCATTTTGAGTTGTGCTCCATTAGCAAATGAAGGACCTGAAAGCTTTGCTCCATTCACATAATTATGGCCAACTCTACTTTGTGGAGATATCTCTTAACAAATTGTATTTTGAGTACCTTCCAACCTGAGGGGTCATCTTCTAGTACTATATCTGACAATGTGCTATTCTTAATGTTTTCATTTTCTGGCACTATATCTGGCACTGTTCCACTCCTATTCATAAGGTTTACAGTGACTCAATATTCAGAAGTAGTCCACTTCTCTTTCTTCCTACTCTGTCTTAGTCTGGGATCTCTTCTGAACCTGCCCACGATGGATGACCCTGCTAGTATTTAAAATACCAGTGGCATAGCATCTATTATCACAGCAACAAGCAAGCCACCACAGTGTGACAAACTGACAGACAAGTGTCCTTATGTACAACTTCTTGATATCAGTTACATCAGTCATCCTGTGCCAACTTGACCCATATTCGGTGCCATGTTTTCCATTACTATAAATAAAAAGGAGTCCTGGTGTGATGCTATAGATAGGCACTGGTCTGCAAGGTTGGTTTGAATCACAAGGTTGGCAGTTCAAACTACCAACCAATCCTCGGAAACCCTGTACAGGGTTGCTATGAGTCAGAACTGACTAGATGGCACGTAATAACAACAACATAAATAAGTAAATAAAAAGTGATTACTACCTATAGAGTACTTCTCCTTCTTTCCTCCCCTTCTCACTCCTAACCACTAATGAATGTTAGTTTCTTATAATCCATTCATGTCATTTCATTGAAACTGAGAATATGCAATATTTATTTTGTATATGTGTGATTGACTTATTTCACTCAACATAATATCTTTTAGGTTTATCCACATTGGAAGATGCCTCAGGACCTAATTTTTCTTTATTGCTGAACTAGTATTCCATTGTATGTATGTGCCACATTTTACTTATTCATTCATTTATTTGTGAGCACTTCGATTTTTTTCTAGTTTTTTTTGTTGTTTTCTTCCCCCTTATTCTTTGTTTGTCATCAATGTCTCTAACTTAATTGTAATCTCTCTGTGGAAAGGAAATATCTAGTATATTGATTTGTTTTCCTTTTCCTCTCCACTCTCCTCATTTTACCTAACACTTAATCCACTGCCATCAATTCAATTCTGATGCGTAGTGACCCTATATATGATTCTCTAGGCCGTACAGCTTTGCAGAAGGAGAAAGTCTCATCTTTTTCCTGTGGATCAGTTGGTAGATATGAATAACCGACCTTGGAGTTAACAATCCAAAATTCATCCTACAGTGTCACCAGGTACCACCATTAAATAAATGCTATCCAAAACAAGCCTTAATTAATCGGGCACTGTTTCGTTCTGCTGTGCATAAGGTTGCTGTGAGTTAGTACTGACTCGATGGCACCTAACAAGAACAATACAAATTGAAGTCTTTCAACAAACTGATGCAATACTGGATGTACTCACTCATCTATGCCAAGAAAGTTGAAAGACAGAACTATTGGAAGAGATCCATATCTGTGCAAAGAAAGATGACCCAACAGAATGCAGAAATCATCGAAGAACGTCATTAATATCACATGCAAGTAAAACTTGCTTTAAGGTAATTCAAAAATGGTTGCAACAGTACATCGACAAGGAATTGCCAAAAATTCAAACCTCATTCAGAAGAGGATGTAGAACTAGGAATATCATTACTCACATTGGATGGATCTTGACTGAAAGCAGGAATACCAGAAGGTGTTTACTTGTCTTTTATAGACTGTACAGAGGCTGTCAACTATGTGACTCATGCCAGGCTATGGATAACATTATGAAAAATGGGTACTGTAGAGCACTTGCTTGTTCTCATGAGGAACCTAATATTGAATGGTGTAGATCCAGGAAAGGTGTTCAACAAGGTTGTATTCTTTCACCATACTTACTTCATTTGCTGAGAAAATAATTAGAGAGGCTGGATTATATGAAGAAGAATGTGGCATCAGGACTGCATTAACACCTTGCTATATACAGGTGATACACCTTGCTTGCTGAAAGCGAATAGGACTTAAAACAGTTACTGATGAAGATCAAAGACCACAGCCTTCAATATGGATTGCATCTCAATGTAAAGAAAATGAAAATTCTCAGAACTGGACCAATAAATACCATGATAAATGGAGAAAAGATTGAAATTGTCAAAGACTTCATTTTGCTTGGATCCACATCAGCACTCATGGAAGCAGCAGTTAAGAAATCAGACAACACATAACATTAGGCACATCTGCTGCAAAAGACTTCTTTAAACTGTTAAAGAGGAAAGATATCAGTTTGAGCCTGATCCAAGCCATGGTGTTTTCTATAGCTTCATATGCATGTGAAAGTTGGGCAATGAATGAAGAGGCCGGAGAAGAATCGATGCATTTGAAGTATGGTATTGGAGAAGAATGCTAAAAGAACCTTGGACTGCTAGAAGAATAAATAAGTCTGTCTTGGAAGAAGTGTTGTCAGAATGCTCTATAGAAGCCATGATGGTGAAATTTTCTCTCATACTTTGGACACGTTATCAGGAGGGAGCAGTCCCTGGAGAAAGGCATCATATTTGAACCCCAGTGAGATGGATTGACACAGTGGCTGCAGGAATCGGCTCTAGTGTAACAACAGTTTTGAAGATGGCACAGGACCAGGTAGTGTTTGGTTCTTTTGTGCATAGGATCGCTGTGAGTCGGAACTGACTCAACAGCACCTAACCACATCCAAAGAGCACAGACTGGACATATATAGTTATGAATCCTGACAAGTTAAGTAACCTTTCTCTGTATTTACATATGTTAATGGAGATAATAATATTGACATAGTAGAGTTGTGAGTTCTTTTATGTACTTTTCCTACTATGAACCCTATACGTAATAGGTGTTCAACAAATGGTGGCTGTTACCGTAAATTATCATAGTTGTAAATAGCAACAATAATTGATGTGATAGTTGAGAATACTTACTTTCCAAAAAGTTATTGATTTTTTTTTTTTTTTTGGAGAAAATCAGACTAACTTTTTTGATGTGCTGCAACAGCTAACTTATAAAATGTAGGCATGTCATAATTATAAAACAGTATCCAAGAACTTTCAAAGATGTCGTGTATTTAGCATTTTTATTTATAGAGAATTCTTAGATGGGCAAATCCTTTTCTCTAATTGGTTTCTTCTCAGTTGCATATCTACAGTCAAGCTATTATTTTGCTAGCTGATTGCTGATTTACCTTTATGAAGCAAATTCAATGTCTAGTGATAGTTTTACCAACTTCCTGTTAACCAGTGTACCTTTCTCATTGATTTAGCCTGTCAACCAGGGTATTTGTTCAGAATATGAATTGTTATTGTAGGAGAGATTTCATAAAGAAACATATTCATTATACTGGACAAAGATTTGCTTCTACATGATGATTATGCCCACAATTGTGTTTCAAGTGAAATATCAATGAAAACTTAGAAAACAGTGGTCTAGATATTTAAAGTCTATGTAAGCAAAAGAAAAAATATTTAGGATGAGACCTTAAAAATAAATTTTAATTCACTCTTGATGATACAGAATATTTTACATGTAATCAAAAGGTTTAAGGAAATTTTAATAAAAGAATGGGTCAGTGCTGGCAAGAGTATAAGTAGCAATGTTTAATGATAGCAAAAAAAGTTAAAGGACATTAATGACGTCAATGAAGAAGGAAACAAAATAACTTTAGAAAAAGTTGTTTCCATCTCCATTGTAATAATTACATTTACAGAAAGGCAACCACATTATACTGCCTAGGAGACTTTGCATTTGTAAATTCTACACTCAGCTTTTTATGAGTAACAAAAAATTACTTATTGATACTTATTTTAAAAATGACTTCTAGGTTATGTCATAGAATCAGTAGAGAGATCACCCAATCTCCAACATCTCTATCTTGCTGAGAAAGATTGTCTTTAAGACATCTATATTCTAGATTTCTTAAAGTCCAAAGGTGATCATTAGCATTCATTATTTGTTGCTAAGTACCATCAAGTCGGTTCCAACTCATCACAACCCTGTATAGGGTTTCTAGGGGCAACTGGTGAGTTTGAACAGCTGACCTGTGGTTCAAACCAATGTTGAGGTCCAGTGCTTTATCCCACAATGCCACACCAGGACTCCTCAAAAAAAGAAAAAACAACAACAACAACCCTACTACCTTCAAGTCGATTCCTTAGTGACCCTGTCAGATAAAATAGAACTGGATCATAGGTTTTCTGAAGCTGAAAATTTTTATAGAAGCAGACTGCCACATCTTCCTGTCTTAGAGAGACTCTTGGGTTTGAACTGTTGACCTTTTGGCTAGCAACATAGTACTTTACCCTTCTATACCACTAGGATTCCTATGATGACCTCAAGGCAGTACAAATTCTTTGAATTGATTCGGGAATCATCAAAGAACAGCTTTGTTTTGTTATATAGTTAAACTATTATAATTCTTTGAAAATCTTAAATTCTAGGTAGGAAATTTTAGCAATCAAACTGAATATTTGTTTACCAAAACACTTCATTCCCTTTTTTTTCTGGGCCATTTATTATATAACCTTTGTAGGTTAGGTGGGTTTTTAAATGTTTCTTAATAGAATGGGGGAATTGTAAGAGAGTAGATCTAGAGGGTTAAATCCTCAACTGTAAAGACTTCCTTGGATTTCTTTTGGTTTCTGGCTATAGCTACTTGTTTTCTTGCAGAGATGAAGCATCTGGTTTTTGTTATCTCAATGATGCTGTCCTGGGAATATTACAATTGAGACAGAAATTTGACCGTATTCTCTATGTGGATTTGGATCTGCACCATGGAGATGGTAAGCCCTTCAGTTGCAGAGATACTTCCATGTAGGACAGCAGACTTTTGTCAATAAGGCATATTCAAGGCAACTAGGGAAAAAAGAAATGGTTGTAATTGAAATTTTTCCTGATTTGGAAACCTGAAGTAAGTAGAGTTTATATTCTAACTGAGAAATTTGTGCTCTCCTGACCAAGTTGCTTTAAATACCAAAGCTCTCCAATAAAGAACATTAAGTACTAGAAATCTTACCTAGTATTTATTCCAGCGCATTTCTATAGGTTCTTAATGCAATCTAGTGTTGAATCTGTTCTCTTCTCCTTGATGTTGTTTCTCTCAAAGTAAAATAGATGTATGATGAACTTACGTTTTGACTTTTTCTGTGATCAGAATCTGTGCCACTTTCTTTCTATTGCTAAAATATTTTGTCTTGTACAAACCCTCCTACCAGACCTTTTAATAGCAGCAGAATCTCTCAAAATTTGCCTTAACCTCACTGACCCCACTTAACCCCTTCTCAGAAAATTCCACTGAAAGTACTTATCTAACCTTCCCAAATAGTTTGTGTTTAAGATGCAAATCTTTTATTACAGTTGCCCACATTCTGTTTCTTTAATATAACTTGTCTGTGACACATAATGTTCCCATTGATTCTGGAACACTCACTTACGCAATAAATTATTGGTTAGGGTACTTCCCACTCCTCTCTCACATTAGTGATTGGTTCTTCCTTGTTTCTACAGATTTGTGGAAACAAACTAACACAATCCAGGCATTAAGAAAGGAAATAAATAGTATATTGCTGAGGTTAGGATCAATTATCCTGCCAAAATAGACATGTTGTTAAGTTGTTATGGGCCATCAAGTTGGTTCTGTCTCATAGTGACCCTGTATAGGGTTTCTGAGGAGCATCTGGTGAGTTTGAACCACCAACCTTGTGGTTAGCAGTCCAGTACTTACCCTACAGCACCATACCAGGATTCCAAAACAGAAATGGTGGTGGTGGTTATGTGCCATGGAGTTGGTTCCGACTCATAGTGACCCTTAGAAGGAAGAAATTGTGAGGGGAACATCAACTGGAAGGGTGCCACCATGGAACAAACAGTAACAGAAAATTAAAGTTAACAGAGAGTAAAGAGAACTAAAACAACCAATATACAAGGGAGCTTCAAAAAGTTCTCGGAAAAATACCATTATCTTTTAATTTCATTTTTCTGCTAACTTTTTGGAGCCCCCTATATGATTTTCAGCCTGTTTGTAAAACATAGCTTTGGTCGAAAATCTTCAAAGACTCCTTAATGCCTACAACAGGGCAAGGGACATAACCCACAGCTTGTTTTTGTATGGTCAGCAAGCTGGGAATGGTTTCTATATTTTTAAAAGGTTATAAAGGGGGAAAAATGCAATAGAGGCTTAGTTTAGAAAGCCAACAATATTTACTATATGACCATTTATTTGCCTATAGCAATGATTCTCAAATTTAAATATATATCAGGAAGACATGGGGAGTTTGCTTTAAAATGAAGATTTTTGAGCCATACCCACCAGACACCTAGACTTAGTTATTTTGGTAATGGACCTAGGAACCTACATTTTAGCAACACTCCAGTTGTTCTACAGGCTATACCTTGAACAACAGTGATCTTCAAGGTAAAGGCAATAGTCTATCCTAGCTTTTAAGGCCTACTTCAAATTGGCCCCCTTTATCATTACAGTGTTATCTTCTACTATTCTCTTCAGGGTAGTCAACTCAAAAGTGCCTAGCTATATTTCACTTATTCCCACCTCCTGACTTTGCTTCACTTTTTCCTAACTTGGTTTTGTTTTTTCCTTCAAATTCCACTTATTAGCTAAAATTCTAACAGTAGCAGATTTGTCCTGACCACTCCAGCCCAAGTATTCTTTCCCTTCTATCAAGTCCTGTATTATTTATATCACTAATTTGATATCTAATTATACATAGTCTTATATTGTTAATTTATTAATGTGTCTGTGTCTTCTCTCCCATAGAGACTAAGTTCCTTAAGAGCAGGAATCAAATTGTTTACTTCTTTCTGTCTTGTGCAATGAATGCCTTGAACAGACATTATGCATATAATGGTAGTGGTTCAATAAAATATTTGTTGAATGATTATGAAATTCTAACTATTTGTATCACAGATCAAAGATAGAACAACTCTATTGAACCATATAAGGAGCCCTAAGGAGCTCTGGTAGCATAGTGGTTACAAATCAGGCTGCGAACCACAAGGTCAGCAGTTCAAAACTACCAGCTGCTCCATGGGCGAAAGATGAGGCATTGTGCTCCCATAAAGATTAACAGCCTCGGAAACCCTGTGCAGGATCGCTATGAGTCGGAACCGACTCCACAGCACATAACAAAAACAAGTTGTATAATGGTTAAACGTTCAGCTAATAACCAAAAGGTTTATGGTTTAAATTCATTCAGTGACTGCAGGAAAAAGGCCTGGCTATTGCTCCCATAAGATTGTTGTTAAGTGATTTCGAGCCAGTTCCAACTAATAACAACGCTATATAGTGTTTCCAAGGAGCAGCTGGTGGGTTTAAACCGCTGATCTTGGGGTTATCAGTCTGATGCGTATCCTACAGCGCCACACCAAGACTCCCCCATAGCAAACCCTATGTGACAATTCTTCTCTGTCACATGGGGTCTCAATGAGTCAAAAATCAACTCGGTGGCACCTAACAATGGCATTGAACGCCATAAGAATAAAATAAGACTGTCACCTGAAACTGTTCTTTTCATTTGCAATGTTTTTTCTACACCATTTAGAGTTTCCTGTTTTAGCCAGCTTTTATGGTGTGTTTCATTTCAGTTACTTCGCCACTTCAGCACTTCTCTTTCACTGACCCCCACCTCACCCGCAAACCCTTACACATTTAGTTATATTTTAAACCTCCCAGGAATCTGTAACTAGCATCATGTGTTGACTTCACTACCTTGCTCTCACCTTCTTTCATTTTCCTAATAACTCTTCTCTTTGCCAGGAAACCCCATGTTCTTAAGCTGTGTCCTCTTAAGTTCAATTTTTCTAATGATATTTCTTATGAAACAGAATATAAATACAATCACTAAGCATATGAAAAGGTACTCAACCCCTTAATATTCATAAATGCAAATTAAAACAAGACCATTCTTTTTGCCTTTGATATTGACTAAGATTACAACAAGGATAGTCACGGTGTGGAAAAACAGGAACTGTTATAGGTGATTGATCAAGGTGTAAATTAGTACAACCTTTTTGAATGGATAAATTATCAGAAGTCTCATGAATTTTTCTTGTTTTATACTTTGTTGAAATATGTCTATGTTGAAATACTTTTTTGTAATTTATTTTTATTTTGTATTTTGTGCCTAGAACCTTTAACTGGTTTAACTGCCTCCCTATGGAAAAAGATTAGGCATGGGAAACTCAAACATACCTATGCTATACAGATACAGTTAATATCTTTAAACTCTCTATTACCTGCTAATGAAGACTGAAAGTATTATGTAAACATATTTCTTTGTTTCTTTGTTTTAACTTTGTTTGAACTTACTAATAGTGTTTCTTTGTTTGAACTTACTAATAGTGTTTTTATTTTACAGTCCGATTATAGTATAGTCTATCTTAATGTGATTTTCTTGGGTGCGTGGTGGCTTCATAGGATAATCACTGCATTGTGAAACACAGTGTTGCCAGTTCAAGCCCAACAGCCACTCCGTGGAGAAAGATTAAAGTTTTTACTCCCACAGAGATTTACAGCCTTGGAAAACCTACACAGGGTCACTATTAGTTGGAACCAACTTGTTGGAATTTAGCAAAAACAACTGGTGTCCTGTGAGATAAGTAACTGGACCACAAGACAAGTTTGAACTGCAAAATTATAAGTTCAAACTCACCAGCCACTCCTTGGAAATCCTATACAGGGTCACTATGAATCAGAATTGACTTGACAGCACTTAACAGTAACAACATATGTTGCTTTGATGGGGTCCTGGTGTGACGCTATAGGATAAGCACTGGACTGCTAACCTCAAGGTTAGCAGTTTAAACCTACCAGGTCCTTGGATACACTATAAAGAGTCTCTATGAGTCAGAACCAACTCAGCAGCACTTAACAGCAGCAACATACGTGATTTCGAGGGGAAAGGCATGAATGTGGGTAGTGTGTATATCAGTATAAGTACTGGTTTGTGAGAGTTACTTTAAATCCCATCTTTTATCTCAGAAGCTTCTATTCATTTTCTGTCTGTTTAAATGGAAAAGTATTCTTATTGCTGTCTTTCCCTAGGCTTTATAAGACTATTATAAAGATGCTATTAAGGGACAGGGTAAAAAATATTCTCAGGCTACCATATATTATGTTGTTGTTGTTGTTAAGTGCCGTCGAGTCAGTTCCGACCCATAGCAACCCTGTACAGGGTTTCTGAGGGTGTAAATCTTTACGGGAGTAGAAAGCCTCATCTTTCTCCCGCGGAGCGGCTGGTAGTTTCGAACCGCTGACCTTAGGGATATAGCCAGAAAAATGTTATACAACTTAGTATAACTTGCATTTATAACCAAATCTGTATTATATACAGGTACTTTATAATTAGGTTTTCACTTGTTGCTGCTGTTGTTAAGTACCATTAAATTGGTTCTAACTCATAGTCACCCTGTATAGGACTTCCAAGGAACAGCTGGTGAGTTTGAACTTCTGACCTTTCTGTTCAAACCGACTTTGCCATCCAGTGCCACACCAGGACTCCAGGTTCTTGCTACATAATACTTCATGTTTGTATTGGTCATGCTTTTCAAAGGGTTGTCACATTGAAATTCTTTGGGGAAAAAAAAATCCCAAGAATTTAACTTGTTGCTGTTGTTGTTAGGGGCCATCGAGTTGGCACCGACTGTTAGTGACCCTGTGCACAGCAGATCGAAACACTGCCCAATTCTGGGCCAACCTCACTACTTTTGCCACGGTTGAGTCCATTGATGCTGCCACCTGGCCAGTCCATCTCATTGGAGGTCTTCCTCTTTTTCTCTGACCCTCACCTTTAAACCAAGGCAAAACATAAATTTTCCCAAGATGGCATCAAGTTCATGTATGCAGTTCTGTGATTGCAGTTGTGTGATTATCTATGCTGTTGTATGATGCCTTGCCTCAATTATGAGCACTAGCACTTCTCTACCTTTTAGAACAGGTTGTTAAAAAAAAAGGCAATACATCCCATTGATTGGAAAGAAAAAGTCTAGTTATACTTTGCCATGAATTTGAAAAGGAACCGCAAAACTTCACTTGAAGCCAAAATTCTACCTCATCCTATAATTGCAGAGGCTTTTGCTATTTTCATTCTTCAGTTATTTTCACTTATTTTTTTCCTGAATTAATTTTGCTTTTTTATAGTTTAGAATAAAATTAATTTGTGCATCCTAGACTAACCCTTAATTTAAAAACAAAATAAAAACAGTGGTACTCAAAACTTGTATTAAAATCACCTAGAGTGCTTGTGTTGTCATTTTTGTTTTTTTTTAATGCCATCTACAACCAACACACCACCACTCGTCAGTCGGTTTGTTGTACTGTGGTGGCTTTTGAGTTGCTGTGATTCTAGAAGCTATGCCACGGGTATTTTAAATACCAGCAGGGTCCCCCATTGTGGACAGGTTTTAGATGAGCTTCCAGACAAAGACAGACTAGGAAGAAGGAGTGACAAACTACTTCCGAATGTGTAGTAACTGAAAACCTTATGAACAGCAGAGAAACACTGTCAGATATAGTGCTGGAAAATGAGCCCCTCAGGTTGGAAGTCACTCAAAATGCAACTGGGGAAGAGCTGCCTCCTCAAAGTAGAGTTGACCATGAAGACATGACTGGAGTAAAGCCCGTGGGACCTTCATTTGCTGATGGGGCACAACTCAAAATGAAGAGAAACAGCTGTAAACATCCATTAATAATTGGAACGTGGAATGTACTAAGCATGAATGGAGGAAAATTGGAAATTGTCAAAAATAAAATGGAACACATAAACATCGACAACTTAGGCATTAGTGAGCTGAAATGGACTGGTATTGGCCATTTTGAATCTGACAACCATATATGGTTTGCTATGCAGGAATGACAAAATGAAGAGGAATGGTGTTTTATTCACTGTCAGAAAAAACATATCCAGATCAGTCGAGGTACAATGCTGTCTGTGATAGGATAATATCCATGTGCCTAGGGAAGACCAGTGAATACCACTATTATTCAATTTTATGCACCAACACTAAAGCCAGTGAAGATGAAATAGAAGAATTCTACCAACTTGTTCAATCTGAAATTGATCAAACATGCAATCAAGATGTATTGAGCATTACTGGTGATTGGAATGCAAGGTTGGGAGCAAAGAGGAAGGATCAGTAGTGTGACAATATGGCCTTGGAGATAGAAATGATGCTGGAGATCGCATGATAGAATTCTGCAAAGTCAATGATTCGTTCATTTCAAATACCTTCTTTAGACAGCATAAGAGACAATTATACACATGGACCTCACCAGATGGAATACAAAGAAATCAAATTGACTACATCTGTGGAAAGAGACAATGGAAAAGCTCCATATCATCAGTCAAAACAAGGCCAGGGGCAGATTGTGGAACAGGCCATCAATTGTTCATATGCAAATTCAAACAAGCTGAAGAAAATGAAAACAAGTCTACGAGAGCCAAAATGTGAATTTGAATATATCCCACCTGAATTTAGAGCTCATCTGAAGAACAGATTTGATACATTAAACACTAAAGACCGAAGACCAGAAGAGTTGTGGGATGACATCAAGAATATTATGCAGGAAGAAAGCTAAAAGCCATTAAGAAGACAAGAAAGAAGGACAAGGTCAAAATGGATATCAGAAGAGACACTGAAACTTGCTCTCCAGCGTAGAGATGCTAAAGCAAATAGAAGAAATAGTGCAAAGATCTGGAGTCAGAAAACCAAAAGGGTTCAGCATTTCTCAAGCTGGGAGAACTGAAGAAAAAACTCAAGCCTCCATTTTCATTATTGAAGGATTCTCTGGGCAAATTATTGAATGATGCAGAAAGTATCTAAAGAAGATGGAGGGAATACACAGAGTCACTTTACCAAAAGGAAATGGTTGATGTTCAACTGTTTCAAAAGGCAGCATATGATCAAGAGCCAATGATACTGAAGGAGGAAGTCCAAGGTGCATTGAAGGAATTGGTGAAGAACAAGACACCGGGAATTGATGGAATAAAAATTGAAATCTTTCAAGACAATGAGGTGGCACTGGAGGCAGTCACTCATCCCTGCCAAGAAATTTGGAAGACAACTATCTGGCTGACTGATTGGAAGAGTTCCTTATTTGTGCCCATTCCAAAGAGGTGACCCAACGGAATGCGGAAATCATCAGACAATCTCTTTGATATCCCATGCGAGTAAAGTTTTACTAAAGGTAATACAGAAATGGCTGCAAACATACAGTGACAGAGAACTTCCAGAGGTTCAAGCTGGATTCAGAAGAGGACGTGGAATGAGGGATATCCTTACTGATGTTTGATGGATCTTGGCTGAAAGCAGAGAATATCAGAAAGATGTTTACCTGTGCTTTATTGACTGCACAAAGGCTTTTGATTGCGTGGATCGTGACAAACTATGGACAACATTGCAAAGTATGAGAATTCCTGAAAACTTAATTGTGCTCATGAAGAATCTGTACATGGACCAAGAGGCAGTTGTTCGAACAGAACATGGGAACACTGAATGTCTTAAAATTAAAAAAGGTGTGCAACAGTGTTGTATTCTTTCACCCTATGTATTAAACCTATATGCTGAGCAAAGTACCAACTCGATGGTACCTAACAACAACAACAACATGCTGAGCAAATAATGTGAGAACTGAGAAGCTGGGTTATATGAAGAAAAATGTGGCATCAGGATTGGAGGAAGACTCATTAACAACTTGCAATATGCAGATGCTATAACCTGTCTTGCTGAAAGTGAAGAGGACTTAAAATACTTACTGATGAAGATCAAAAAATACAGCCTTCAGTACAGATTACATCTCAATGTAAAGAAAACAAAAATCCTCACTACTGGACCAATAAACAACATTCTGATCAATGGAGAAAAGATCGAAGTTGTCAAGGACTTCATTCTTCTTGGATCAACTATCAATACTCATGGAAGCAGCAGTCAAGAAATCAATCGACATATTGCATTAGGCAAATGTGCTGCACAAGACCTTTTAAAAGTGTTGAAGAGCAAGGTGTCAGCTTGAGGACTAAGGTGCGCCTGACCTAAGCCATGGTATTTTCAATAACCTCATATGCATGCGAAAGCTGGACAGTGAATAAGGAAGACAGTAGAATAATTGATGCCCTTGAGTTATGGTGTTGGAGGAGAGTATTGGAAATGCGATGCATGGGCTGCCAAAGGAACAAACAGATCTGTGTTGTAAGAAGTGCAGCCAGAGTGCTCCTTGGAGGCCAGGATGGCCAAACTTCGTCTCTTATACTTTGGACATATTGTAAGCAGGGACCAGTCCCTGGAGGATATCATGTTTGGTAAGGTGGAGGGTAAGAGAAAAAGAGGAAGACCCCCAGAGAGGTGGATTGGCAAAGTGGCAGCATCAATGCGCTCAATTGTGGCAACAATTGTAAGGTTGGCTCAGGACTGGGCAGTGTTTTGTTCTGCTATGCATAGGGTCGCTATGAGTGGGTACCAACTCGATGGCACCTAACAACAACAAAAACAACCAATACCATTTTATTTGTTTAGCCTTCCATTTCATCCATGTTAATAGGTGTGTTAGCTTTATTTTTATTGCCTTTTATATACCCTTTTCCTCATTGTTGCTTTCTATGTGTTCAATTGTTGAAAGCAAAAGTTCCATATAAGAATTGCTTTTTCTGATGTTTCTTTCTCTGGTAGGTGTAGAAGATGCCTTCAGTTTCACTTCCAAAGTCATGACGGTGTCTTTGCACAAATTCTCCCCAGGGTTTTTCCCAGGCAAGTGAGATATGTATTCAATATTACATTTAAGGAATAAATACAACAATTCTGTTTATTTTTTATGTCTTATGTTTGGGTATCTCCATACTGTTAATAACTTATTTGTGATTTTGTATACAAAACTTTAACATAAATTATTTTAGGGAGCAATTACAAGAGGAGTATAGAATTATTTCTTTTTCCAGATGATTATTATATACTGTCACAGTTAGCTCACTTACTAATACTATATTACCTGATACCTCATTTGACTCCTAACACCCTTATAATTACAATGGTATATTAATATTAAGACAGCCTAAGTAGCATAAAAGGACCCCTGGTGGTGCAGTGATTAAGCACTGGAATGCAAACTGGAATGTCAAAGGTTCAAGCCCATCAGCCCTCCACAGGAGAAAGATATGGCAATGTACGTCCATAAAAATCACAGCCTTGAAAACCCTGTAGGTCAGTTCTACTCTGTTCTATGGGGTTACTATGAGTTGGAATCAACTCAGTGATAATAGGTTAATTAACAACATGAAAAGTCAATTTGATCCAGCAAGATGGAAACCGAGGTTTTCAGGATTTTTTTTTTTTTATGATTTTCCTGTGTAACCAAAATTGTTTATAACAGTTACTTGTCCATTACTTTTCTTAATTTCAAGTCCTTAAAACCATCCATAATTCAGGCTTTTTCACCTCATTGGCCTTATATTGTTGTTGTTAAATGCCATCAAGTTGGTTCCAACCCCTGGCAAGCCTGTATAGGGTTTCCGAGGAGCGTTTGGTGAGCTTGAACCACCAACCTTGAAGTTCAAACCAACTTTGCAGTCCAGTGTAATAACCCACAGTGCCACACGAGGCCTCCCATTGGTCTTATGTTGTTGTTGTTGTTAAGTGTGGTCGTGTTGACTCCAACCCATAGCGACTCTGTATAGGGTTTCCAAGGAGAAGATGGTGAGCTTGAACCACCAATCTTGCAGTTCAAACGGCTTTGCAGTCTGGCACATTAATCCACAGTACCACACCAGGTCTCCAAAGACAATCTCATACTGATAGTGTATAGGGTTTCCAAGGCTGCGAAAGTGTAAGGGTGCAGAAAGCCTCATCTTTCATTCACAGCAAAGTTTCGAACTGCAAACCTTGCGTTTCAATGCTGGATTCACAACCACTACGCCACCAGAGCTTCTCATAGGTCTTTTAAATTCCTTTCAAACAATTCTTCACATTTCTAGTTTTGCATTCCTAGTAACTGATCATGGTGCTCCTCTTCACTCTCTTTCACAGGAACAGGCGACGTGTCTGATGTTGGTCTAGGGAAGGGACGATACTATAGTGTAAATGTACCCCTTCAGGATGGCATAAGAGATGATAACTATTACAGCATCTGTGAAAGGTATGGAAACAATGTTAAGCTAGTAACAAGTAGATTACATTTCTTTAGGATGAAATGGCTTGCAATCTCACAGAATTCTTGTTTCTAAGGAATAATTTTGGAGAAAAAAACCCAAAACACTTTATACCCACATTGCTTTGCTATACTGCTCATTATACTTACTTGATCAAATGGTGGTGGTGGTAGTGTGCCGTGGAGTCGGTTCTGACTCATAGCGAACCCTGTACAGGGTTTCCGAGGCTGCAGATCTTCATGGGAGCAGAAAGCCTCATCTTTCTCCTGCAGAACAGCTGGTAGTTTCGAACTTCTAATCTTGCGGTCTGCAGCCCGATTCATAACCACTATGCTACCAGAGCTCCTTACTTGGTCAAATAGCCTTCCTCTATTTGGGAGAGCCAAGTGGTTGAACTACAGACCTTACCAGCTACCCAGTAATTATTAAGGGCATCTCAAGGACAGAGTTTCTGGACTGCTCTCAGGGAATCCCTTGTCTGCTACTTCTTAGCTAACAAAATTTGCATGTATGAGATTTCCTTAGGCTGAGAAGAGTAATTTTCCGTTTTCTATTATTGAAATCTGTACTTCCTTCCACTGGTGTGAGTATTGAAGAGTTGACTACAATTCATTTTTGAGTTCTGTCCATTGTATAAAAATTGGAGTCAGAACTCTATTCTTTTTGCACTGTGGTTAAGTATTTAATTACAACCACTTGTAGACAGAGATTGGTGCCATTGTTTAGACTATTGGAGCTTAAAAGTCCTACAAAATGGTGGGGCTAAGTTTATTTATAAAACTTGAGATTGGTCACATGCAAATTCACTGCGATAATGGCAGAAGAGAAAGTGAACCTGACTAGAAGTCAGTATGATACTATTATTTAAGGTAAGTAATGGGGATTGAAGGAGCTCTGGTGGCACAGTGATTTCTGCTTCCCTAAAGAAACTGCCCCCATGGAAACCTTATGGGGCAATTCTACTCTGCTCTGAGGGGTCACTGTGAGTCAAAATCAACTCAATGGCAATCAGTTTGATTTTCTTAATAAGGATTGACTCATAGTAACCTCATAGAATAGAGGAGAACTGCCCCATAACGGTCACTGTGATTCAGAATCTACTAGAGAACACATAACAACAATGGGGAATTGAAATGCTTTTGATCTTCCCCTCACTCAACTCAGATTTCTCCCAATCTCTGGTGGAAAGAAAGACTTCCCAAAGGAGCCTGCAGTGGAAGTTGTATAAGCAAAACAGAACCATTGAAAATATAAGAACTTTATGCTTCAGCGATGCCTCTTAGCTCAAAAGATTTAGTAAACCAAGTTATTGTTTAGCAGCTCTAGACTCTTCGTAATTTTAGAGATTTTGACTATATCTCCTGGCTACTTTTCTATTTTCAGAATGAAAAAGTCTTTGTTATGGATCCTGCCACTGATAGTTTTAATCTTTGATCTTGCTGTACAGTGAATTACTTAATATGGCCATTTAAGCCATGCATGGTCTTGTAACTTCCACATAGTGACTGGGTGCGACTATGCAGATAACTTGCTTGTGTCCTACCAAGGGGATTGGGAAACTTGCTAACATTGCAAATGAGGTGTGTGGAACTCTGACAAGGGTGTTGGTCCATTTTGCCATCCCACTAGACTTAAATTGAGCCATTCCAGAAGTGGAAATGGGGGACCTCACTACCATCAAGAAAGAAGAGTGGTGAATGGAGTAGGTATGCCAACCCACATAGCAAGAGAGCTGAAAGCCTTTGAGCAGGGGGTGTTCTGTTAGAGTGGAGTACCTCTAGGTATTTCTTGGCAAAGCTAGGCTTTCCAACTCATGGAGCAGAGTGCCTTCGGGCAGAGGCTTACTAGCAGAGTAGGGTGCCTCTGGACACTTATCAGTGGAGTTAAAGAGCTTTGTAACATGACTAAGAAAGTCACAGCTCAGGCCCAGGGGCCCAAAGGTCTGGGGATCCTGCAAGAGGCCTGCCTGCAGGCATGGCAAAAAGCTGCCCAGACCAAAGAACTGTCCTGAGTCATTCTTGATCCTGAATTATAATCTGCTACTTTCCTGATAAACCTCATAATTTTGAGTATTTTCTGAGTTCTGTGTGGCCATTGCCATGAATTATCAAACCCAGATGTCATAGTTATTTAGTACTGCTATAACAGAAACACCACAAGTTCATGGCTTTAACAAACAGAAATTTATTCTCTCATAGTTTAGGAGCATAGGGATCCAAATTCATTCCACCAACTCTAAAGATTTTCTCTCTCTGTCTGCACTAGGGGAAGGTCCTTGTCTCCTTTAACATCTTTGAGCCTGGTGTCCCTTGGAGAGTTCGACGTGTCTTGACATCGGTCTTCCCATGAGTCTAGGAGGTTCTCAGTGCAGGGACTCTGGATCCTAAGGAAACTCTGCTCTCAGCTCTTCTTTCTTGGTGGTAGTAGATCCCTCTAATCTCTGTTCACCTGTTTAACCTCTTTGATATTTCAAAAGAGAGTGACTCAAAATACAACCTAATCCTGTAGATTGCTTCCTGCCTCATTAATATTAACTGCCTCTATCCCTACCTCATTAACATCATGGTGGTGGTGGTAGTGGTGGTGTACCACCAAGTCAGTTCCCACTCATACCGACCCAGTATAGGATTTCTGAGGCTATAAATCTTTGCAAGAACAGAAAGCCTCATCTTTCTCCCTCAGAATGGTTGGTAGATCCGAATTATTGACCTTCTGGTTAGCAGCTCAGTACTACTTGGGCTCCTTCATTAACATCATAGAAGTGCAAATTTACAACACATAGGGTATTGCATCAGATCACAAAATGAAGGATTCACATAATATTGCAAATCATGGCCTAGCCAAGTTGACACATATATTGGGGGCACACAATTCAATTAATAAATCAGCTGAAAGTAAAGCGTGCCTTGGGAGCAATGGCTAGTGTCAGAATTAATAACAAGGTTGGAGGTATGTCTGACCCCCACCTCATCGCAATTAGCCTTGGGCCATTGATGTTAATAATTATTCTCTTCCTGCCTCTTGAAGTTGAAAAAGGAAGTCTAACAGCAGGAGTCTTGTTGTGGCACTGTGGGTTAATGTGCCAGACTGCAAAACCATTTGAACTGCAAGGTCAGGTCAGCGGTTCAAGCTCACCACCTGCTCCTTGGAAACTGTATACAGGGTCACTATGAGTCAGAATCAACTCCAAGGCACTTAACAACAACTGCCCACATTGCCATTTTTTAAGATCCCCTTAGTCTCTGTTCTGTTCTTAAGATGTTCGGATCAAAGATGTATATGTAACTTAGTGAAAATGTTCTATGGTTCTCTGTGAAAGGACATTATTTATTTTTTTCCTTTCTATCCCTTTGTAATTTTTTTTGCATTAATTAGGCTTTCATTTTGTTTTGTTTTCTAAAACGTTTTATTGTGAATTGAGTGATAGTTTACATGGGAAAATGTTGGTTTTGCACTCAACCTATCTTATTTGTTTCATTGCAATTATTCCAATCCCCTCCATGCAACATTGGTTAACAATATTTGCTTCTATTCCCTCTATTTTTTGGTTTCTCTCTTTTTTTTTTATGTTCAGAAAAACACACAGGAATATACACTAATTTAAACAACCAAAGGGCATGATCTGCAAGCCTGCCTCCTGGCGGCCAGCACACAGTCTTTCTCTTTCCATGAGTCTAGAGTCCTCAGCTGCTAAATCTCTCCATGCTATCACTTCTGCTGCCATCTATGGTGTTGCTGCTTCTCTGGTTAGGGTCCCAAGTTCCGCTCATGCTCTTCTCTCTTGATGATCCAAGGATCCTCTGTTCCCGGAACGTAAGATTAACTACACCCCCATTTTTGTTACAGAAATTCTACCTTTACAGTTCTGACGATCTCAATTAGTCATGATAACAATTACTCACTATTGAATCAAATGAATCCTATCCCCATCTCCTTTCACCAGACCCATCTAGACAATATGAAAAGTATTCAGTGGGGATTCTACCTTCCCCTGCACATTCTGAAACTAAACTCCCTCTTGAAAACATGTAAACCAGCCACTTCGTGCCTTTAAAGCCTCTTCCACCCCTTTTTTTTAGGTAGCCAGTACCTAAGTTGTCCATCCCTCTAAACTCTGTGTACTGAGGGGATAGGATTGGACTTTGATGTGAAGATTCCTTCACTGCATCCAAAAGTACAGGTCAAGTTCATCAAATTGTAGCAATTTACACTTGCTTCCTTTATCATTTTTTTTTTTATATTCCACTAGTCAAATTCTGATCATCAAGCCATCCAGCTGGATGCTTCACTCTCAGCTCTAGACCACTGTGGCTAGGTCAGTGTCCATGAGCTCAGGAATTCCCAAGTCTCCCCAAACTTCAGACCAACCAGCCCTTCCTCTTCTCTCTCTCATCTCAAGGTCGACAGAAGTCTATGGAACATGGCCGAACTCAGCCCATGTCTTCATTACTGTCTTTCCACCACTTCCACTCACAAGTAGACCAGCGCAGTCACCAGCAAGCTTACAAGCCTGCTCATGTTTTCCCTTTGACTGTCAGTCTTGGAAGGGGTTTGTACGGAAGGGATTTGGGTGCTTTCCTTGAAGGCTCCCAGGTGAACAACTTGCTTGTTCTTGTAATAGCCAAACAGGCTGCCTTTTTGTTTTTGTTTTTACCTGCTGGTGTTTCTTTCAAGAAGTATTTTCTGTTCCTCTAGCCACTCCAAGCTGGTTTGCATGTCCTTTCAAGTGTGAATGTCCCACCTCAGAAAGTTCTGGATGGGGCTCAGGATTCCACTTCACTGGGCAGGAAGCCTACTTCACTGGGCAGGTTCTAGAACCGCTTTTAGGTATTCCAGTGAAGATGGGCTTACAAGCTTTCTGTAATCATGTTTCCCAAAATTCCTTTCTATCCCACTCAAGTGTCTATTTTATAGTAGTAGGCAAGGGAAACCAATAGTCATAAGACAGCCAAGCATCTTAACATTACTTTCCCCTCTTCAGACTATA